GTGGCCCATGAGGCCAGTTTGTATGTGAGTCAACTACTCCCCTTGAACGGTGAACTACACGGTGCGCTTTTTCTTTTTTTTTTCCAAAATTCACAGGCTGTGCTTTGAATTGCCACACTCAACGCTAATAGGAGGGAATATTCCAACACCTTGATTGAAACTGTATGCCAATACCTCGATCAATGAACTCATTAGCAGCTGCCAAAGGATCGATGAAACAAAAACCCATCACAGGAGATGGTGGCTGCTTGTCCCTCCCGGCACAGACATTACCGTATGGGGATGCTGTGTTCAGTTCAGATTGAGTGAGTTGGAAAATGTTTATGATTGTTTTTGGAAATGAGACGAAAGAATTAAAAAGGATGGGGAGACAAAGGATAAGCCACTTAGCAAAGGACGTAAATTCATCCCTAGTATGAAGGAGCTCACAGGATTGAAGAGGAGGTTGAGAAGAATGGTCTGTAGCCTGGTGGATTGAGGTGCATATGAGACTTTTCATGACATGCCCCTCCATATGCTAAATTGGAAAATGTTTATGATTGTTTTTGGAAATGAGACGAAAGAATTAAAAAGGATGGGGAGACAAAGGATAAGCCACTTAGCAAAGGACGTAAATTCATCCCTAGTATGAAGGAGCTCACAGGATTGAAGAGGAGGTTGAGAAGAATGGTCTGTAGCCTGGTGGATTGAGGTGCATATGAGACTTTTCATGACATGCCCCTCCATATGCTAAAGCCATGCGAACGACCTTTTGACAAAACGTGTGCGGCAGCCACACGGGTCGTGGTACCTCAGCTAGTGACATGAGGGGGAAGAGGGGGAAGAGGGGGAAGGGAGAGAGAGTAGGGGAGGATAAGGAAATTACACTCAGGAGTTTCCTTTCCATAGCTTGAGCAGTTTGGGCAAAAGAGCTATGAAGGGGAGTGTTGCTTCCACCACTTGTGTTCGACACTTGAACAACGAGAACTGAAGTCCACTGTGTTGCATATTTATTCTGTACGTGGGCTTGATTGGGCAAATGATGCCTTAGAAGTTAGAACCCATCGGGCAGACAGAAAGCTCTCTGGTGACGAGATGGAGCCAAGATTACACGAGAGCGAAGTCTGAGGGACTTAGGAAGTGGCTCAAGAAAGGGAACCTGGGACAGGCATACATTCTGCAGAAAAATAAGGACACAGCAAGCTTTAGACCTTTACGACCAGCCTTTTCAGAGCCATCCTCACGGTTGAGTAGAAGAATTGCACACGCCCTGAACTGTGTGCTACTTGGTTTACGAGCACCTATGGACTTTAGACCGCCAGTACCTTTCTCATACATTGGCTGCAGGCCCTACACGCCAAGCTTCACGGATGCATTTGGCCGCTGCTGCCAGCCGTTTACGGCCTCCGTGTTAACTGCCGCTCTACTTATTTTTTTCTAGCGGGGAAAGGTACTGGCAGTTTAATGAGTAGCTTCAAATCCACAGATACCGTAGCGGCAAGGTTGAAGCCACAAGAACAAGTCCATCAGCTCCCAGGAAGAATGGCCATCTGAAAGGGACAGAGGGTGACATTAGCAAAATACGCTTCCCCAGGATCGTAAACACAAAAACCATTAGTTGCTCGTAGATTTTACGCAGCTTGCAGCAAGATAAGGGTCATCGTGAAAAGAAGAGGGAAAGGAGTCTTTTTCATCCCTAAGAACATTGGGCGCTTATCGACCAGCAATCGATGGCACCTTGCTTGAAAAATTATTTCAGCTTCGAGACGCAACAAATCAGAGATTCAGCGGTGAGCTTGATTGAGATCTTAAACCCTAAACCCCAAACCCTAAACCAGTAATCGTGAAAAGAAAAGGAAAAGGAGTCTTTTTCACCACAAACCTTGGAAGAACAGAAAGAGCTCACTGGCAGCATCATGCTTTGAAAGGATGGCTGGTTGTAATCGAGTTTGACAAGGTGCTGAAGATGGTAAGGTTTGAGCTAAATCATTGTCACTTGATGGCATAGGAGTCGATAGGACCGGTTGATCCGACAGATAGTCGGTGTCCCTATGGGGAAATGCAGCCATCACTGCTAGCTTGCATTCACTGCAGTTTCTGCAGCAGGTGCACTCGGATGGAAGAGAAGAGTTATGTTTGGCGCCCAGCTGATCGATGACTTTTCAATTTTCGTCCGGGAGTGCGTAGGAAAATTTAGAGATAAGATTTTGGAGAAGTTTGCATGGGCTGAATGATGGTAGTAGGTGCCCGGGACTACCTCGGGACGACGATCAAAATCTTGGAGGAATCAACTGGCAGTGCAGAAGGAGCCACATTGATGTTTGGCCAAACTGGAAGAGACCAACTTACAAGACGATGCAAAACTACAGCCTCAGACTCCAGGACATGGAAGACATGTGCCATGGTGACCAAATGGCAAATACTTATACCAGACCTAAGCAACAGGATGAAACAGGAGAGGTAGGTGAAGTCTCGCTGACCCACAGCCCTGAACGTAGGAAACAAGGGGACCTCAATAAATTATTTTGGACAGGGCTGGCTAATTTCAATTAGGAAAGCAACCCCAGGCTGGGACCATTTCATGTGGCTACTGGGCCCTCGAAGGAAGGAAACTTTATGCCAGAAATCGCATTACGAAGGTTGTTCCCCCCCCCCCAAGAAAACAGAGCCTTATGGCTCTGGCTCCATTTCCATTCTGGGGAGCGTCAGTCCGATTCCTACTCCATCGGCATGTCAGAATAAGAATACAACTCACTCTCGACGCTTCTCCCCTTTTATGGTTGAGAAGCACTAGTGGGCGGCATTGATTACTTCCAATCTGGAAGGATGTACCTCCCCTCACCCCTGCCTAAGTTAACTTATTGCTACAGGCCCATTTTGCTTGTCCCGTGCTACCATCTCCCTGACAGCAGAGGTGTCCCGAGCCATCCCCCTCGTTCAGCCACAGGCGGGTAGCCTGCTAAAACTCTAAGTCCTCGAGGGACTGTGGTTCTTTGCCTGCCATTCCTTTGTCTGCATTATCGTCTGTGGATCTTTGCTGAAGAAGTGAGCTGTCCTGAAGAGGTCACTCAGCTCAGCCTCGGGGCCCAGGAGTCCTGGGTCCCTTGGCCATTGCCAAGTACTGTCTGCCCCCCAGGTAAGCAGTCCTGAAGAGGTCGCTTTGTCTGGCCTCGGGGCCCAATAGCCCGGAGGTCCTTGGCCATTGCCAACTACTGTCTGCGCCGCTCTTAGGAAGTATTAAAGACTTTAAGTAGTCAGAAAAAGGAAAGACAAGCCGGGCCCATACAGACCTGTTTCTTTTATGTTTTTTAAGGCGGTAGAGAACTTTAGTTTTCACCAGTCGAGTCCCCAGCCCTCTGAAGAGATGAGGTTGCTCCACTTGAAACACGAACGATAGTACGATACAGAGAAGATTAGCATGGCCCCTGCGCAAGGATGACACGCATAAATCGAGAAATGGTCCAAATTTTTATTTTAAAAAAACTTAAAAAAAGGAAAAAAAAAAGAAAAAAAAGAGAGAGATTGAAATTCAAAATTAACAATGCAGCCAGTGGTTTAGTATTGCAGCGTAACCACATTGTCACAAGCATGGACGAAGACACATGATAGAAGGCTCTGAAGTAGAGTGTCTGATAACCAGCTTCCTTGGTGATGACTATTTCTTCACATGCTTTGCTTTCCCGCTTGCATTCCAGAGGAAGATTTGGCCATGTGCTTGAAAGCCTTAAGCCCCTGAGACGTTAGAGCCTTTTTCTGGAATGGCTTGCGTTTCTGTAACAGCGAAAACCGGCATGGCAGGAATGCTGGAGCACTGCATACCGATTCAGTGATTCCCTTGTGCACTGTACTGTCGACAATTATCTGAACAAAGCCTAACGTATCAGCCAGTTACAGCCCTGCTGTTAGAGACTGGTAGTCGTTACTCTTCACATGCTGCCCTCAAGATGGCTTTGCTTGAGACCGTTCCATTAGGTGTTTCTTTGAGAAAGCTAGTCACAGTATCATGCCTTTACTCCTTCTGTGTTAGATTGATTAGTTTTTGTGATTTTGATTCCATCTGTGACCCTTCCTTCTGGTGGGTAGGAGGATCAGCGGCTGCTGATCAAGCATGTTGTCTGCTTTTACTTGCAGGCTTGCACTCACAGACGGGTCTTTCCCCTTCTAGCCAACCAGCAGTCAATTGTCACTGGCAGTGGTACACCCAACACATTGTCACTGGCAGTGGTACACCCAACACAGTGAAAGCCAACTTCCTCCTATTAGCATGATGACCTGCCTGACGAGAGAGCATGATATGAGGAAACATCAATGAATTGCGGTTCAGTGAACCAATGCTCCTTGTGTTGGACCTGGTGTATAAACGGACCGCTGTGTACCTGCTTGTTTCTGTATGTGTTTCTGTGTGTGTGTGTGTGTGTGTGTGTGTGTGAGAGAGAGAGAGAGAGAGAGAGAGAGAGAGAGAGAGAGAGAGAGAGAGAGAGAGAGAGAGAG